TCAGTTCCTTGTCTGTCAAAGGAACTACACATCCATGGGTTAAATTCCTGTCTCTATACCAGTTAAGCATCTCTGAAATTATCTTCTGGTGGTAAGCAGCAACAGTTTTATTCATGGGATTCCAGACCTCATAACAATATAACCAGCGTTGTAACATAAAAAGAATAAGGAAATTATTCTTATTCTTATTATGAAATTAAGATTCGCCTTTCACACGGCCTACGCATGTGATCCTGTGCAATTTACTACATTCCTTTAAGTCTCAGTTTCATTTCCTATAAAATAGGAAGAATAGTGGCTAACTCATTGGCTAGCTGGGGTGAGTAAGTGCAAAAACATAGGTCAGGAGATTTGCACAGCGTCTGATCAATAATAACGTTCTAGTAATGGTGGCCACCGTTCTTATCGTTCCTCTATTCACTGGTAAGCGAGGAAGGGAAGGAAAGACTCTTTTCTATGCCTCTCTGAAATCCAGATAATAACCTCCTTTGTCCCTTGCACCCAGTGCTTAGTCCATAAATGCTTTTTAATTTGATATGATTTGTTGAATTTGCTGTCGGTGGGCCCTTCATTGGGTTACAGAGTAAGTATAGGCAGAACCCCTTTGCATCATGTATGTGTTGTGTTATGATCGTGGCTTCCTGAGCAGGGAAAGCCACGCGCGTCTGTTTTAGCTGGCCCTTCTTTGTCTTACTTTGCTTTTTCCGTTTTTGTATGGCCTGCATGTTTACGGAGGGCAGGTATGCGTTCTCAACCTTCAGCTCATGCCGCCGTTCATGTTACGGCAGATGCTGAGAACAAGTCTTGGTTTCATCTATTCCATGTCACCCTCTGTCCTTGTACTTTTCTTAGATTTGTCGAACCAGACAGATTTAAGTCCCCTTGGCAACGCCACTCCGTTTCTTTCTGGGGAGTTGGGATGGGAACAGTTGGCATTTAAAGCCCAAGTATGTCTTTTTGAAATGTCGTTTTTGTTCACCTGAGTATTAGTTTTTGCTGAAACCTCTGGTCGGACACTTAAGGGTGTGACTTCAAGGTAACTTTGAATCGCAATCACTTAAACATCTTGAGGTGTAAAGGAAACATATTGGGAAAGGTAAATTCAGCAACAATACATGTGTGAGAACAACACAGCTTTGAAGATCAAGTGTTCTGTCATCTCCATTTTCATCTGTTTCATGTACCTTGTGAGTTCCTTTGGTGATTCTCAGCAGGACCATGCCAGGAAATGATCTCTGGTAAATAATTGGCAGATTTTTGGTGCTAGGGTGCCACCTACTGGGCTATTTCTAAATATTCCTTTGTCTAAATGAAAATCCAAGCACTTAACATTAAAAAAAAAAAGAGAGAGAGAGAAAGGCAGATAATGTCCCAGGAAGAGTAAAGGCAAGGATAACTCGTAGCAACACTGAGTGTATCACCGTGCTCTAGTGCGCTGTATTTATTTGATGTGTTCGTAGCATGTAAGAGCTCAATGCAGTTCATGCTTTTAGAAATACCGATGCCGTCTCTTCATTGTCACACACCTCCACGTGTGTCCCCTTCATGCCCCCTGCTATTTCGCATATTTTTCTTCACCTGTTTTCCACACCTACCATTGTTCATATACAATGTTCACACACATGGTAGTGCTATTGATATCAATAAAATCTATTATTTTATTTGACTCCACTAATGGTATGTGGTTGCTTCTAAGAGATCCATGAAGTCCGGTCTCCAGAGTACAGGGCTGTTGTCTGCGTATGGCTGACATGAGTTCCCCTGCTGGGCACTGGCCAGGCAGATGGCGCTGTGACCAACTGCAGCCAATGGGTGGGTCATGACATAGCTAAATGTTCGTACAACCAATCTCATTGGGCCCTAGTGTTTAGATAAAGGTTCAGCACATTCTCTTCCACCTACGATCTCGGGGATGTTCTGAGAATGTCTGTATCCATGAGCTGCAACAGACATTTGAAGCCGTTGTTCATAGACTTTAGGAAGAATCACAAAATCTGATAAGGGACACTGACAAATTACTGCAGACATTTGGTAGTATTGTCTCCTCTAAATATTTAGGTGACTTCACCTGTGGAAGGCAGCCTCCGTAGGAGGATTTGCTAGTAGACTGCTTACATTCAAGCCAGTCATTAGATGGTTTGCGGGGCGGGGGATCATGACCTTTAGATTTTTAACGAGGCTCTTTCATGTAGGTTCCGTTTATATGTCTTTCTACTTTGAGATTTCTAGTTAAATTTTTGGATATTTAAAAAACTAATTAAAAATTCATGTGATCTAGTGGATATGGCTTATTGAAATTAAAGTGTTATTTCATAGTGGCATCGCTGCAATCCCTAAATATTTTCTTAAGGACATTAGCTCACATTAGGGACTGGCTTGCATTTCTGAAATGTGGAAGTGCTTTTATGAGGTGTTTTGAGAACCTAAATAATTTTCATGTGATTTATCACATTCACTACAAGTGTCACAGGCTGAAAAGCTGCTGACAGGGGTTTTGTGACCGTGAGAACGAACAATTTAAATTTTATACTGAGTCTGAACTGCGATGCTGATGGTTTGGGATTTTCCTTCAAACAGATAAAAGGGTGTGTGTGTGTGTGTGTGTGTGTGTGTGTGTGTGTGTGTGTGTGATGTACTCTATAAAGAAAATGAAATAAAATACAAGATAAGCTGCAGTGCTCTAATGTAGCCTAATACCCACTCAGGGGAGAAATTTAGGATCAGAGTCTGACATAAATGGGTGTAAAAGAAAACTCATGTTCAGTTTGAGAAGCCTTGACGGGCAGTAACATGAACACAGCAGAAAGACTCTGTGATCAATCTTTAGATATTTTGTCGTTTTCCATGGGTGCTAAATCCTTTTATCCACTAAAGATAAAAGGATTTAGAGAAATGTTGACTATGGGACCATGATTAGACCAGAAATGTATAGACATAGATGGAGAAATAGAGCTATAGGCATGGATATAGATAGACAAAGATATAGGTATATAGACACCTTATTCTGTTCCCAAGCTCCAGAGCCTCTTCACAGCTAAACAAGAGACCTGTGAGTTGTACTATTTTTGTTTAAATCACTGTAGTTTGGTTGACTTTCCTGTCAAAATCAGATTCTGTATTATATATGTATATATAATTTAACCTGACTACCTGTACTTAGGGTCCAGTTAGTTTTAGCCTTTGCAGCACGGTTAGTCAGGTGCTCTGTAGTCCAATTCTGATTAAGAGGTTCTTGTTCTTTTGCTCAGATTGTGAGCTCTTTATAAACCTAAAACATTGGCTGAATCTCCATGTGGAAAGGTCCAATCGAGAGGAAGGGCTGTGAGGACAAATTAATGAGGAAAGCAGGGTGTGTGAGGGTCAAGCGTGTGGCCTGCAGAGGCAGACAGGCTTGGGGCAAGTCCCGGCGAGCAGCCCCTAGCCTTGTGAACTTCCCCAGAAACTTGACTTCTCTAAGCAGCTTAGGGGTGCTGGGATGCTCAAGGGGGAAAATGCAAGCAAAGGGCTTGGGGCGGTGCCTGGCACCCAGGAAACACTCCATAAATATGAACAGTTTGTAATACAATATCCTCTCCGAATTATTCTTTAAAAAAAGAGACATTGCTAGAAATCGTCATCCCCATTTTGGTAATTTACCTTGGTCTCTTTTTCAAAACTTAGATGAAAATAGCTGTAGATCATGTATTTCCTTTAAAAAAAAATGCATTGCTTTCAAACCAGCTGGAATTCAATTCAGAGTCTAACAGTCTGAGAATTAGCGACAGGGCTTGTACAGGGAACACTAAGATTCTTCCTTTCTCATCTAATCTATTAGATTTCTCCTCTATATGCATTGATCCGATGGCTTCCATCACTCCCAGGAAAAACTCGATGTCCTTATCATAGCCAATAAGGCTTGCCTTTGGCTCTTCCCCCAAAGCTGTTGTCATCAGAGCTGTTAGATCGCTCCCTTGCATTTACTCTTGCTCCAAATCGGTTCAACAATCGCTTATCATCAGCCACTTATTATAGGCAAGGCGCTTAGCGACACCGCTGCAGCTGCTTTCCTTCCTCCTCCTCAGTCCTGGTGGGAGACATTTTTATTGTTAGTTGGAATCAGGGACATGTCTGACTTAAATGTCTTTGCAGACCACTGGCGGCATCTGTGTATCTTATGGATTGTAAGCTTTTCCAGGACGAAGGGCCATGCCCTTATCAGGTCGAACCTAGCACCTAATAGCAAAACAATGCCTATTTTTTAAACCTAACTAAATCAATTAAGTTGTAGGAAGTTCCAAGAAATTAGGTGTTTATATTGAGAAGGAGCATATCAAAATAGTTTCAGATATTTAAAAGCTTATATATTTCTCTGATAAAGGTATACTATATAAAATGTGTTCACAACTTAAATATTTTGAAAGTGGCAATGTGCTAAATTCTTTACAAACAGTTACTATGAAGGTTATTTTTCCTTTCACTTAAAACACATGAGCTGCTAGTTATTTTTATATTAATATTGTTTTTCTTATTACTTCTCTTGCAAATCAACACACTTCTAAATTATATACCTGGAACATGGCATAATGTCCAGCACCTAGTAGGCACTCAATAGATAATTATTGTCTATGTAAGTGATGCATTTGGGAAAAACTTTCCAAAACCTTTTCCAAAGTCTTTTGCAGGCTTGAAATGAATTCCAATAGCTCTCCTTTATTCTATTAATTTTCTTATTTAAACCTGAGAATTCAAAAACTAATAGCATAGTTTTGACACACTTGGGCTTTGTAAACATGACATCAAGAAAAGGAATATAATTTCGTTGGGGTAAATGGTGCTGAAAATTGTCACTTAGTGAATGTCAATATAGAGATGATGTGTGTGTGTGTATATATATATATATATATATATATAAATATACACATATATATATGTGTATATATATATATAAATCTAACTTATATTTACATATGTATGTATGAAATTCAAAACTTTCTAAGAGATGTTTGTTTTTCTTTTTGCAGAAGCTAACACGTCTAACACTTCCAAGCCTGGTAAGAATTAATATTTGCATTTTATTTTATTTTTTGTTGCAAACTTTATATATTTAATGTTGATAGGGTTTTCTGTTATTATCTAGTGAAATCATTTTGTAAGGATAAACTTTGTAATCATGAATGGTTCTTCACATTCTCTTGTTTTAAATATTCCTGCTTATAAATTATAAAGTTTGATAACTACCTGAACATATTATTATTTGTATATGTATTATTGTGTATAAATTATAACTTTTCTTAAACTTGACAGTAAATCACATGGCAGGATTCCAATCTTTAAATTTTAATCCTATAAATCATTCAAGTTAGATAAAAAACTTTATAGTTAAAAACTGAGTTAAAGAATTATGTGAGAAATTAGAATTTTAAACATAATTATATATATATATATATATATATATATATATATTCCTTCAGAGAAAGGCTTTGAGACTATTAAGATATTTTGTAATAATTACTTTCAAGTTCTACTGTGACAACTGTATTGATATTCTTAACAAGTATCCTAGTCCTGGGGTAAATTTAAACAATGAAGATGCTGAAAATAAATTCATACATATTACATGCAAAATAAGAGATAAAAGTTAGGCTGCATATGGTTAAAAATTAATGACATCACTGAAATGTTATTGTTATTGAAAATGCATTATGAATTTTCTTATTAATTATATGGTTGACAGTACACATTAAGAAGGTAAGTAAAGCCATTAAGACAATGCTGATTTAATAATTGCAGTCACCATTCTAATGAGACACATTTGTAATGCTCTGAGAATTGGGTTATTGAAGGAATCACTTTTGTAATTAAATGAAAATCCATTCCAAACTATGGACACAAAGAACTATGCAAACAGTAACAAAAGACTCCTAGATCTGCATAAGAAGTGTATTCTCTTACTTGTTTTTAAGAAGATCTGCCATTAGAATGTTATAGTTTTACAGTAATTACTGGCAGGGAGGTTTTATAAATCCATGTGGGTCATCAATGCACAGGAGACTGGTTTGTGCCATTTACACCCAGACAACTTAGCACCCCCGCCTCTTATGGTGGGGTGAGTCCATCTCCACTATCTCCACTGGCTATTTTTGCAGGAAGGGGGATGAGAATGGGATAGGGTGGGGAGTGGGTGTAGAAAACGGTAGGTGACACGTCACTCTACTGAGAGGGTTTCCATGATCTCTGCGCTGACTCTATTATAACAAACCTCCAAACGCTGCAACCAGGTTCGTTAAAATCATGACCCAAAATGCAAATGAGAAGGGTCTCTCCCACATGTTGCCAACAAGAATATAATCCGTGGAAAGCAGCAGTGTCTCCAAAGTGGGGGCGCAGGGACAATGTGGCATTGGCCATGGGTGCCTGTTTTCTCATCCTAAAGTCTTACTTATGGAACTTGGGAACAGACACTGAGCTGAAGACGTGCCACAAAGGCACCAAGGCTGCTAGGAAGCCTGGCTTCCTCCGCCCTGGACTGCACTTGTTTGGCTAGAAGACATCTTTAGGAATGTGATGTATCAAACTAATATAGCGCAAGTGTGTGCAGAAATTGGAGTGGTTTTCCTTCTAGCCTCTTTGTCATTCAAATCTGACAAAAGAGTGGGAGTGACTGATGGAGGGAGAGTGTCTCAACATTGCTCTCAAAGCTAAAGGGATCCCCAGAACCCTGCCAACAGCAAAGATACTTACCCCTAAAACAAGAAACAAATCCTTTGTTCAAGTCTATACTGATGAAAGTGAGTTAATGGTATTGCACAGAATTTTAAGGTCCGCCCTGTCTCCGGCCCATCTTTTCTCTCTCTGTCTCACTTTCTTCTTTTCATCTTTTCCCCATCGTCCACCTTTCCTAGAGCAGAGCAGGTGAGAGAATCCTAAAGTTAGACTTAGGATTTTCTACTGAAGACAGGACGTAGCTACTTGCCTATTAATTGGATACGTGGGTATGTAATTGTGGGTGAAAGTTTATTAGTAAAATCATTTATTTGTGAGTTGTTGGGCTGTGAAGTTTTAGGGATTGAATGTTTTCTTTGGAAAAGTCATGCATATAACAACTATACTATCACTTTGGATTTCTGGCATCCCAGAATGGTTCTGCAGCATTTCATGGGCGTTGGCATTGGGGCACTTCAGTTAGTTCAGAAGGTTTTTGTCTGGATTTAGTAAAAATTGATTTCGCTGTATCTTTGACTTTAATGAAAGAAGCTAGGACTTCTTTGGGTCATCTCCTCTTCCGTTTCCTTAATTCCCTATTCAGTAATCGCTCCATTTCGGGTCCTAATTCTTTCCTGTCTTATCCTTTTTTCTCATTTCTCCCATTCTCTCCCTCTTCCCACATTTGTGCCTTTCCCTTTCACCCCAGTCTCACTGAACAGAATTAATTAAAATACTTGTGGGATGTAACTCAATTTTTATTAATTAAATATTGAAAAACAAATTCCACTATTCATGTCAGTAAACAATATGACACATAGAAAATTTAGAAAAAAATACACTTCTGTAATCCCAAGGTCCACAGATCACAAGGTGCTTTTTGTCTTTTAGAAACAATGTTGGTGTATTTCCCCATTTCTTTTATAAAGAAATACATTTGCTAAGAGACCTCTCTCTCTCTTTCTCTCTCTCTGTCTCTCTCTCTGTCTCTCTCTCTCTCTCAGGCCTTTAACACATGGTGTTAATTTGCCCTGCAGGAAGCTCTTACATTTGTAGGTTCTCATCAGCTGTGCATGTTCCTGTTTCAACACCGCCTTATCACATTTATCTTCTTTCTAAAGAATTGAAACTGCGGAAAATGTTATTTCAGCATCTCAGTTGTACTTCCTTTGTTAACCATAAAGTTGAAAGCATTTTTGTAGACTTGGGTCACTTGTATATCTGTGTTGTGAATTTTGTTTTCCTGTCTTTTACCCAGCCTTCGCTTTGTCTGAATTTGAGGTGCTTTCTTTTGTTTGTTTGTTTTAATTCACGTGTACCTTTTTTTTTTCTCCTGAAACCCTAGTCCCCCTAACAATCTCCTTCCAATTTTAGCGTCCTCTATTCTTTTCTTCATGGATAAATCTTTTACAGTTTCTTTTAATCATCTTGATGCACTTTGCTTCATCCTTCCAACCAAACTACTTTGCAGAGGTGAGAATCCAGCGACTGAATTCTGAGGGAGAGGCTGGGAAAAGCCTCTCTCGACTCCGCTGGCCCATTTTGAGCTTCCGCCACTGCTCTGCAGCTGGTTTTCTATCTGCATCCTCATGTTATATCTCCACGCCTGTATGCAGCTCCGTGCGTATATTTTTATGTGCAGATGTGTCTGTATTTACCAATATATACACACACCGTGTATACACATGGACCATGTATCGCTTCAGTAGGGTGTGGATATATATACACACACCATAGTGAACGGAAAGTTAATGATAAACTCAAGTGCGTATGTGTTTCAGGATATGACTCACATGTTGCTTTTCTCCTTCTTCCATCTCCCATGAACATAACAGGAATGGACGCATCAGAAAAGCCCAGCACTTGGCCTCTAAGTGCTGCCTTACCTGCCCGCACCACCCCATCCTCACCCGCAAGCATCTCTGAACGAGGCAGTAACTCCTCAGAGACCACGCCACATCTTGGGCAAGGCAGTGCATCCACAGACGTGTCCCCCAGCTCTTTGGGTAATGCTAGTAGCCCTGGCGTCACAGGTCGGCACAGAGACGTTTTTCTGAGATGGGTTTAGGGAAACTTGTCTTTTTTTTTTTTTTTAATTCTAAAGATATCAGAAATGTTTTTCCTTATGTGTTCATGTATGTGATTTTATGAAAGCGTATAAGATGTGAGACATCTAGAAGTTTGCGTAATATTGGCTGACTAATGAATACATGTTATTAGGGGTTGGAGGGTGGCAAGCCCCCTGAGTAAAATCGGGGACACTTTCTCTGGTGTCCACATGCTGCTCTGTCCCCAGCCCTGAAGCCCTGGACAGGTCAGAACACCCTATCTCAGGATGCTGTGAGTCTTGCCATCTCCAGCTCTGCCTGCCTCCCCCCTACCCTCGCCCCCCAACCCCCACCCCCGAGCAGAATCTCTTTATTCAATTCCAGATTCTCAAAATCAGAAAATCATTGGGGACAGTCAATTTTTTTTTTTTTTTGAAATTCACACTGAGGATTAACAATCCAGCTTTCTCATTTGGATCTCTTCCAGGGACATCTGCATTATTTTTTTAAAAACTAATTAATTAAGGTTGTGAGTCCTCACGGTAGGATGTAAGGTCATGTGGCCATATCCGCAGCAAAATCTCCGAGTGGCGTGGGAGGTGTTTTTGCCAGGAAAGACCGTGGTGCGTCCTAGAATCCTGACAATCAGCGATTCGCTTGTTCTATGGTTCACGTCAGGTGGGCCGGTATATTCAGAACATAAATGGGCCGACATGAGTGACGTACATGTCTTTTCTGAAACGATGGGCTACCTGGCCATTTTCTGAGGCCAACAGGCCTACAGACGCTCCGATGAAAGAGGCTAAGCCTGTGTTGAGAGATGCCGTTAGCCTTAGTCTGAAAAACAAGCATGTATAACACCTCCCTAGGATTTTGTATAGGGAGGAAAGAAAGGCTTCACATGGCATGGATGAGAAATAAGAATAAATAACTTTAAAATACTAACTTGCTCTGGCACAGTAATACAGAAAATTGGTTTGGCAAGTTTCTTATGCTTTCAATAAAAGAGCACGTTTTCTTTTCTGGAAGGTGATCTTGCTATCAGGCGACCGTTGAGTTACCTACTAGGATAAACTCTACATGTGTTGTTTAATTTACGTTTATCATTGATTTATGTTGTGGAGTGCAACCAAATTTTTCTTGCTTACTGATATACATAGGGGGAAAAAAATCTTTTAAATCCATTTTCTAACAGTGTCATATATACCTTTTCAAAATTGTCCTTGTTTTGAAAATGATTGCAATCCATATCCACATGCATAGCATTAAATTTAATTATGTAATATCATTTTTATAAAAATAGTTTATCCTGTTGCAAAGCATCAATATAGGTAGGTGTGTGTGTGTGTGTGTGTGTGTGAGTGTGAGTGAGTGTGAGTGTATGTGTATTTTACACCCACATGCACCGCAAATACTATGTCCCCAAATCCCCCTCCCTAAGGATACGTTTTCAGCGTGGTGATATGGCCCCCAGACTCTGGTTACAGGGTCTGTGGGCATCTGTGGGCATGTGTGCAGCTGTATCCATCCATCTTTTTGTGACACTACATGTTATCAATCTTTGAAAACTCTGCCAGTATGTATGCTAGTTGAAAATATATTTTTAATTTCTACTTTTTGACATTTTTCAACGCAATGAACATCCTTGCATATACGTTTTGGCCATTGTATCAATTACGATGGATGTCTGTTACGTCTCTTGTCCACTTTTCTATTTTTTCTTTTCTTTGTGATTTATAAGAGACCCCCATATGTGGGGAGATTCTTTTCTTATTCTACCTACAAAGCAATGTCCCAGCTTTCGGTTTGTAATATTGATGGAGAATTCAAAAAGCTCAGTGACTCGGAAGTCACACAGGCCACCTGGAAACATGAGGGAACCTCCCGGAGCTCAGGGCCACCCTCCTGGCAGGCTGTTACACCCGGGCAGACACCTGTGGTCATCATTTGGGTCATTTCAGAGCTTGGTAAATTTGCTCCTTACACCCTCCTGGTATTTACATTTTCCATTGCAGTGGGGAGATCTTGACGAAATGATGTCACTTTCTTGCCTTAGGTGTTACGCCAGCACCGACGTCGCCCCTTGCCACGCATGCATCGCAAGCACCCTCTGTCGGATCTGACACTCAGACACCCAGCCTCAAGGCTTCTTTCTCTCCACCCACCCTGGCTCCGGGCACGAATGAGACATCAGGTTTGCGTGTCCTTCAGACGATGGGCAAATGCTAAGGGGCAGGACAGCTGCCTGTGTTTGAGGGTGGTGTGAGGGGACCCAACCATCGGTCCAAGGGATGAACTCGAAATGTCCTGCCTTCCTAGTGACCCTGAGTCTGGGAGGCCACATAACCAAGGTCCGTGTAATAGAGATGAAATAATCAAGCCTGAGAATTATGAGAATACAGGAGCAACCTGTTTGGGAGGAAACAATTATTCATGGTCCTCTAGACGTTTCTTTTTATTTAGGGCAAGTATCATTGTACAGTGAAAAGTTCATTTTGCTAGGAATTGAGAATAATAGACATGAACCTCTGCTGAAAGACCTCCTTCCCATAAGCCAAACGGTAAAGAGTAGATGACTTTTGTTGTCACTGAGAAAATATGACCACAATTAAATTGCGTCTTAAAAGAATAAGGAAAAAGAAATACATGTTAATGTTCCCCATTCAAACATGAGACGTTTTCAGCTTAGCGTGTATGTCTTTAGGAAAACAAGGTGAAGTGGTCCCTCCCTTGTCTTTCCAAAATCAGTGTCTAAATCACTTGACAGTGCCCTTTTTAATCCTGAAATATGGGCATGTTTGTCAGGTGACAAACCCACACAGGCACACAGATCAATTTAGTGCCCCGAGTGCCTGAAAGCTGAAGGTATAAATGGAGCGCCCACAGAGCTGGCCCTGAAGTGGCCTTGGGTTAAGTATGAATCAAACATATCAAATAGAATAATTATTATTTTGAAGTAGTAAAACTGTTCCCTGGGCATAAAGAATCATTCCAGGCAATCTACAGACTTTAAACAGCTGGGGGAAGAGCTGTTCTCACCTCCTGCCTTATTCCACCCCTTCCAGCTGCCATGGGAACGGCAGTAAAAAGATTTGGAGCCTTTTTAGCAATTCCGCAGATTCAGAAATTGTGGCCAGAGAGGAGCCATAAAGCAGCCAGACAGGACTGGCCCGTGGGGCTGCTGGTCACACAGACTAGGCCTGCTCTGCCCTCATCACGGCCATCTCCCTCTCACAGTGGCTAAGTCCATTCATTGAAAATCTATTAGGATGAATTAACCTAATTAAAATGGCAAATGCCATTCCTAAACCATTACCTACACAAGGGACAGTCGTTTTCCAACGAGGCAGGAAGGTGGTGAATTTGGATATGGTGGGGGGAGGCCGTGCTCAGAGTAGCACGGGGACAAGGGTCTCTTGTGACAAGAGGAGCAGAAAAGGTTGAGGCGGAAAGCTGAAAAGAAACCTGGCTGATGCAACAGCGTCACAAAGGGCCAGTTCTGTGTCTGAGTTTTTTCCAAGGGGGAAAACACCCTTCGGTACCCTTGTTGTTCTGTGGGAGCCCTCCTCTGCGGACCCCGAACTGAAGAATGGGTTTACGGTATTCATTCTATCCTGCTGGAGTGAAGCGTGGGGGTTTAGCGCCTTTGAACACAGGGCTGGAGCCCAAACTCAGAATTTGGGGAGGTGCGTTTTCAGGTCTCACGGGATGCGCAGGTGACCTTGAGGCTGTGGCTCGCATCAAAGCCGTTTTTAGAGCCGCACCCCTGTGTCCCTGCTAACACACTGAGGATCGGGCTGCCCATGAAGGCTAACATTGCCCTGCTGACCGTGACATCACGTGATGGCGATCGTGGCAGTGAAATAACGCGCTCCTAGAGGGGCTGGCCGCAGTCCTGCTTTTGCCGGGACAGCCAGCCCAGCGCCAGGTGACTCATAGGCAGCTGGTGCACACACATGGGCTGCTGTGCTGGAATTCTGGGTGTGACACCTGGGGGGATGTAGGATGCCTCAGGTGCTTCGAAGCTTGACCCTGAATAGTCCTAACGGGACACAGCAAGCCACACTTCCTTCCATACCGATGAGCTCCCATGGGGCTAGACCATAAGGGGACGATGTCAGTAGAGCCGGGATATTCAGTTCTAAACCGGCCGGCTGTCTCCTGGCCAGCGCGGCCTCCACCACGAGAGCACAGTTGTAACCGTCAGCTGGAAAGGAGGCCCCCCGAGCTCCGCAGCTGCATAGGCAGGACCCTGCTCCGCTCTAGTCTAAGAACATCAGAACTGAGCCCCCGCAGCAGGGACCCCTCCTCAGGGAGCTGCAGCCCGTGGAGACTCGCAGCGCGTAGTAGGTTGCATTTCCCCCTGTGTCGGCCTTAATGCACTCAGACCTCCACCTCCATTCTGGGGGCCTCTGCGCCCGCACCCAGGGGCCACCGGGTCACTCTGCTGCAGTTTTGATACTGTAGGTGGTCCAAGCTGTCTCCTGAGGTCCCAGATACTTTTAAAATTTGGGTTCTGATGACAAAGCTGCTCGGACTTCTTAAGCTCATCTCTCCCAGAAACCTTGCTGGTTTTCGTGGTTTTGCAGACGTGCCTGGGTGTTTGGGGCTTGGCTCAGCCTCCGTGATTCCATTTACACTGGCTGTCTGGCCGCCGCCCTCAAGTGGCCGCAGAGAGTGCCAGTGCTGATGGCCTTTCTGATTACAGGTGTCCCAGCAGAGGCGATCCTATCCAGCCCCCGCCCCCCGTCAGCAGCCACCCCCAGCTCTGCACACAGCAGCCCGGCTGCCTTACCTGCACGCACCTCCAGCACCAGCGCAGACAACTCCTCAGGTTGGCCTGCGACACTCCAAGAGTCCTAGGTTACGGAGAAGGACAGGGGAACCGGACCCTTGGACGCAGCTCTTTTATTTCACACCAGATATTGTCTGCAGGGTCTCCGTTTTTTACAAATCTTTACATATAGACACGAAAACGAGCTTTGCCAGGAAGCTTCTCCTGGGCATATTTTATTTCCTTGTTCACGTGGGGAAAGTTCCTGGCAGAAAAGAAAGAACAGAGCTGTTGCTGACATGGGGCCGGAGACCAAATCCAGCCTCTTCAACTGTGTGGCCGACTGGGGCCCATGTGACAGCTCTGTCCTGTGGGTCAGAGCTCCCCTCTGCAAAGGTGGTCCTGGGAAGACTCAGTTTCTCTAACTTGGGTGAGGGCTCGAGGTGTAAAAACCCTGGTGTGAAATGAAAAATACAAAAGAGTAAGTGGCATCCTTATTAGTAATCACAGTAAGGCGAGTCATACCCGAGAGGGGGAGGGGGTGGTTTGAGAAGGAGTAAGAATTACACTGAGGAACCAACACTGCACACCACTGACGCAGGGTCGGTTCAGATGGCTCAAACTATCAGTTATCTTAAAGGGCCATGTGTCGATAAATCTCTGATACCTGTTCTTATTTTAAAAACACACAAGCGTCACTTTGAAGGAGGGCCCTTCCAGCAAAGATTGGGTTAGGCAGTACTCTTTGTGGCAGCAGCCTTTTCCCCTTGCCCCTCGATATGGCAGGCTCATTAACTGTTCTTATTTTGTTCACTCCCTTGCAGATTCCAATGGCTCTACAGCAACAACTGATCAGACCTCCATGCCCACAACAACAGGTGACAGCTTTACCCTCAGCCATGCCACTGCAACGGGCCTGGGATGCACTCAGAGAACGGTCCCTCCTTTGACACGTTCCACTGCGGGTTCTAATCGTGAGGGTCGGGTGGCAGCTAGTGACACGCATCTATTTTTGCAGTGTGACTGCTGATGGGAGCAGGGCACACAGAGGCTGTCATAAACTGTCACGTCCTTGGAGTAGCGTCCTCCAGGAGTTGTGTACTTGATGAAAACGTGTGGAGAAATGACCTACTAGACCAGGACTTGTTTCTCTAAGAGTGGGGTTAGGTATTGGCATGAAAGAGAACAGTCCTACTGATGGACTCTCTGTTCCAGGGGTGAGCAGTGAGGACAGAGGACAGGGCCCCAGCCACTCAGCGGGGCTGGCGGGACAAAGACAGACTGCGGGAAGGGTCCCAGCAGTCTGGGGTGCCTGTCAGTGGTCACCAGGGCTGAGCCTGGAAGGCCACCATCCTCCCCGCAATCCTTCCAACTCAAAGACCAGATTTAGAGATCTCTGGGCCCCCAAAGCACATCTCCACACACATCTTCAGTTAAACTTGATGCTCACTCAAGATACACCTCAATTTGCTAAGAGAGCTGTCTCCCCAGATCTACTATCTGTGCAAACAGCTTACAAGGGTTCAACTAGAGAGTGAAGCAGCCCTCGCCTATTTTCTGATCTTTCTTTTTTTAAAAAACAAAAGTGTAAACTGAACTCCCTAGGGGTTATAATTATAAAGTACCTATTTTGAGATAAATCAAAGGGATGAGGACCTTGAGAATGGTTTTGGCTGCGTGCATAGTCAGCCATGCTCTAGTCAGGTATGTGCACTCAAAAGTCTTCATATAATTATTATCACAACTGTATTTATTAACAAAAAAAGTTTTCTAGAACTAGCCATTAGTTTATAACTTGTGAAGCTTTGAGATCGACACGTTTGTCTTAGGCCCTGCAAATCCCTTGTCATCTGCCAACCCTAACTCAGCAGGCATTTAGTTTACCAAGTTGAAACATTATAAATCGCCCTTCCCCCACATGAGTACAGCAGAGATATTCTAAGATGAAATGTTAATAATTTGCATTATTTTCTCTATTACAGTTCCCACTACAACTAAGCAATCATGTGGTAAGTTTGTTTACGTAGGGGCAGCGCCTGTCGCTTTCGAATAGCACTTTAATTGCTTACTTCTTCATCCCAAGCTTCCAAGACCCCCTTAGCACGCTAAACTCACTGCTCTAATTTCTCACCAATGATTACCCCCAAATCTTCAGAGCCAGTGTCCTTCAGGGCAAGAAGCTTTGATGTTATATTCAGACCTCGTGTTGAGTACCAGGATTTTAATAATTACTCGTAAACAGCTTCCGGGAGGCCACTTCCCTTCAGTGGGGTGTTTGTAAAATGGAATGATACAAGTTTGTTTTGGGGTGGGCGGGGCAAGGATTCAGTGTAAGGATACCTATGAAATGTGGATAATACCTAAAGGCTTATCAAGAAGAAAACAATGCATGTATCTGTTTCTGCCTGTCTGTCTGTCCATCTCGCTTGCCGGGGTTTGGCTCAAAGCAGATGCCTGAGAGCACTTTGCATCCATCCTTCCCCCGTTCTCTGCATCCCTTCCCAATGGAAGCAGAGCCCTTCTTCCCAGCCAGGGCTTCCCCTTCCACATTTCTGCCTGTCACCCTGAAGCGCCTACCTGCAGTGCACCCCTGAACCTTTAGTGCACAGCTCAGCCTTCTAACGCTGTTGCATGGCAGCCTCCTTCCACTCTCCCTTAAGTAATAAAAAATGGCTGACAGCTTTTGGCGCACACACAACGTGTCTTCCTGCCTCCTGCCCGTCTTCCTCTGCAGCTGGAATGCCACCCCATCCTCACCCAGCACCCCCTCCTGCCATCTGCTTTTCCACGCCCTGCTCATATTTTAAAACGCAAAGTGAGCCACCTCCTCTGGGGAGCCCCTCCTACCCCCTACCCACCACAATCTGAATAGATTTATCTCTCTATTTACTGCCCTATAATTATGTGCATAATCTTATTTTAGGTGTTTGCACGTCTTGGGCAATTCACATCTGTGCCTGTCTCCACATCAGACTATACGTTTCCAAAAGCTGACCATCCGTGTTCCGAGTGGTTGGTTCAGTGGTCGTAAATGTCACGCAGGCTTAGTCATTTCTGTTGCATTAATAAATGAATGAATAAATGAATATTCATTGAAAAGATATTTTTACCAGTCAACTAAATGTGTTTAAACAAAGGCAAGAATGTGAGATGACACTAAGAAAGTTGCTTAGGATGGCTTATCATTAATAGTTTTATGTAAGTAAAGGAATGATGAGACCTGGGCCCTCTAAATAATTAATGTTTTACATGTTTAAAGAAACAGATGACCAAGAATGACATTTTAGAAAGCACAGGAAATTGGACAGCAACAAGAAGAAATTTGTTAGGCAACATGCATGTATCAACTCAACAATTACTTGATTGTTGTAAACCTCCCCACGAATGGCAGGTTTCCTGGAAGGACCTGGATGTATGGTGACATTGGAAAGGGACTGGCCTTGGCCTTCATGGCATATGCAGTCTGCTTAGGAAGACGGACACTAATCCGATAATCGTCCAAATAGAAGCTTCCAAGCTGGGGTCCTTGACAAGGCAGTAAAGGGAGTTAGGGACGGAACCTGTGGAAGCGCCTCATGTGTTTCTTCTCTTTTCATGTTCCTGGGGCTGTTCTGTTCGTGGTTTGATATTTCTGAAAATATATATATGAAGGCATCTGCATTTAATGTAGGTTCGTTCATTCTGAAAAATGGAAGATAGCCCTCCCTGTTTTCTTTTCTTTCAGGTGACAAGTATGCAAATATTTCTGTGACTTACCATTATGACGATGGCACTAGATTATTTAGTGCAGAACTAAAAGTTGCTGGCGAAGTAAAAAACTACACGTCCTCTGACCTAGCAGCGTGTAACATTACCAATGTTACTATACTTGATGACTCATGCAGCCCTCCTGAAAAAAGTTTAGAATTATATGTACCACCAGGTGAGTTGATTACTACTTGTACATTTATGAAAACAGGAGTTTCCAGGTGTGGTGCCATCCAAGGGTCATGGGAACCAGTTACGTGAGAAAATGGGGGGAGGGAAAGGACGTTAGCAGGACGCCAGTGGGTGGCTTCTGTGCTCCATAAAAATTATAAGTCCATAGAACCTCCTGTTTTTATCCGATTCCCCCACCCTACTTTTCTTTTATGGAGTGTTTCATGCAGATTAGATATAATTTCTCCCACTAAGTGATTAGGCACAAGCGTTTTGTTGTTTTTTTCTCCTCTACATCATTCAAGTCATTACATATATACATGCAATATATTTATGCTTTTAAATACAGGTGTGTCTGGAATAGATTGGGGGAAAAGCACAGAGTCAAGGATTTCATGTTTGTGAGAAGAACGAAAATACTTTCACACAAAAAAGGAGAGTTGGTGGTCATGTGAAGACCATCCAGTTGGTTTTGCCAGCTCTGCAGCAGCTGGGAAAGAAAAGGGACTAAGGTCTCCAGTCTGCTCCACTCAAGCTTAGCTTAACGACGTGCATTTGGAAAAGAGATTCAGGGACTCTGTCAATTTGTTCACTCTCTCACACCATTTCATAGTTCAAAATTATTGATAAATTTATTGACATTTAAATAGGTTAAGTCTGATGTTTTTCTGAAAAAAAATGCCATTTAACTTTTTTCTCTAAATATTACCAAAATTAATTATCAATTAAAAACATAAAATGATTTTTCTAAAAATGCACTGTCCAAGAGGAAGCCCCCATGCTGTGTATAATAAGTGTTCAATGAAAAATGAAAGCATAAATGAGAAAATTGAAGATATAAATAAAAAAACAAAATGGAGTGCTTTAAAGTGAGCAAAAAAATGCAGTTTTATCTAGATGTTTGCTTGGAGTCTGTTTCTTAAAAGTAGCATATGCATAAATTCTAAATAAAATGCTACCAAAATGTGAGATGTAAAAAAAAAAAATCAAGAAACACAAAATCTTAAGTTTAGATTTTTTCAAAAGTAATCTAAATGCTTGCCAAAGTCTCTATCATGAATCTAATTCCAGTGACTGTAATTGTGCGTAGGGCACACATTATGCAATACTAATCTCCTATATCCTCTGCTGACAGATCCTGCAAGTTTTCAGTTACGTGACTGTGTACAGCCGGAAAAGGCAAATACTTCCATTTGTTTAACTTGGGAAGAAACCAAAACCAATGAGTTTACTTGTGATAAAAAGAAATTTCGTTATACATTTAAATGTGGTAAGAATAGAGCATTGATCAAAGAATTTTTTATGGTAGAAATTTGTTCTACATATTGTCTAGTCTTTCTTTCTTTCTTTCTTTCTTTCTTTCTTTCTTTCTTTCTTTCTTTCTTTCTTTCTT